GTTCCCGCGGCCATGAAAACACATGGCCTCGGACTTGTGGAGCGCCACTCGAGTCTCAACTGCCGGATACTCTCAACGACTGTCGCAACCGCTGTCGCCATTAAGTCGGCCGCCGTCCGGTGCGACCTCCCGTACGCTAGCACCAGCGTGTCGTCGGCGTGAGTATGAGCTTCTAGCATTGCTTGACACTAGTCGAGGTCCTCGTCAAATAATTACTTGAGTAAGCCGAAGAACATAATGATTAAATTCATATTTATTAAAACGTAATACCAATATTCATTATATACATATTATTATTTATTTATCAATCAATATTTTTCATAATAATTATATCGAATAAATAACTTAAAAACTTTAAGTTATGTATTACATGGCCTTGTACCTATGTATACGTACATATTAACATACATTATATTATTGAATGTATTTTCGTGCCAGTCCTTTTGTAAAACAAATACATTTGCTTTCATTAAAAATTAAATGCCTGTTAGTCCGACATTTCTGAGGATTTAAACAAAAAATAAAGGCAAGAAGTGGAAATTAACGACAAAGGACATTATCCGGTTTTCATTCAATTTTCCATGAAATCATTATTTATACTATGGCAATTGAATTTGAATCCAAAATCCTATTTCTTTCAATAAATCTAATCTATAAAAATCTAGATAAAACATCAACAATAACATAAGAAGAAGGATCTACATAAAACATTAAAAAATGTCAAAAGTATTTCCTTCATCATGATTAAGAACTCGCATTACATCGAATGTAAGATCACCGAGTTGACAAAAGATCACCGTTAACGCAATTGCTAGTCCAACTTGGTTAACTAATCGTGGTCGAAAGTAAAACTCTCACACGCTGTACGACAGCAGATCATGGTACGGCGACCTTTCCAGACACGCAATTAAAAGTCACAATATATAAATACAAAAATATAATGTTGCATTGTAAGAATACTTACATCGGTCCCGTTACAACCATCTCTACCCGGTATACCAGGCAAACCTGGTTCACCTTGAGGACCAGAAGGACCTATTCTGCCAACGAAACCTCTTTCACCTGGTTTTCCTCTATCTCCTTTTGGTCCTCGAGGTCCTGGATTTCCCATTTGACCCTTTTGTCCCTTAGGACCTTGTGGTCCTTCAGGTCCATCATGACCAGGAAATCCTTGACTTCCCGGAGGTCCAGCTACACCCGGAAATCCCTGAAAATCATTGAAAGTATGTAGCACATATAAAATATAACAGATAATTCATGGTTCTTGATCAAACCTAACCTAACTAATAAAAAAAACGAACATTCATTGATATATTAGAAAAATCCTAATTAAATTTAAAACTTAAATAAAAGAAAAGGGTTTTCTATGATGATCGTAAAAAAACGAATACTCCTATACTTATTATCAATATTACTCGTAATTATTTGTGCGCTCATGTTAACGAATGTGTATTTTACGAACTGCACAAATAACTCACGACAAAGAAGTGGAACAACTCAACATTCGAACCTGCGACACAATTGACAACAAATCGAAGGAAGTCAATAACTCCTCATTTATTGTCTTGTTACATTTGAAGTTAATCGTATTGTATACTGTTACCTGTATTGCTTAGATACGAACTTAAGTTAAATTAGCCATTAATTTTTAGTTTTATAAGCAATGTTATTATACTGTAAATATATCAGCACATTTTTAACCTGAAACATAGACTTGTACCTAGTTCAGATTTTATATAAACTTAGACTTTCTTTAGGTAATAAGGTTTATTTTGTAATCTGGCTTTTTACACCAAATAAACATAATCTAAGATTTATTATTATTATTATAATATACTAGCTTCTGCCAGCGGTTACGCCCGCGTTCCCGGGATACAATTTATTCCAAGTGTCATTAATTCTATTATATAATATTAGTAGAAAGAATTTACCCTGCTTCCTTTTTCGGCCAGGCATTTTCGCACACAGCATCCAGGTGCTGTACAGTTTCGGTCGATAGGTGCAACCCGTTGTTTGGTTTCAGGATCGTAGTAGGCGAAGTTGAGACCTCTACTGCTCGGCGGCGGAAGCGGCGGGATATCTTCCCGGTTGTACAATCCATGTGTTACACGTTCGGACGGGTAAACGTTTTCTTCTCTTCTAACATCGGTCGGCCATTCATTTGGTACAGCATTATTCCAATCTCCATACCCATCGTATTGCTGCAACATTTAAAAAGCTTAGATTAACTAAAGTACTTAGGTACCTACTTTTCAAAAATAGGACGTAGTAACAGTTAAGCTTAACGGTAGTCTTTAAATATCTAAACGTGTCATAATGAACCGTAAGAGGTGCGCATATCTACATAAAATTTACACAACACCGAGATTTTGTCGAAAACACTCATTGAAATGTTACCTAATCTGTCCTAGAGTGAAATATACTATTCGAATATTGCATATATTGGTCATTATCGAGCTTATGCAATATGCATACACCATTTGCCATAGAAAGCCTAGAGATGAATTTTATGTAATAAAACGAATCTCTGGGATTTGGTGTAATTAAACACATAAAATTGAAATTATATCACAGTTAGTTATTGCACGCGACTTCGTCCACGAAGAATATGATTCCTATTTTATCCCATGTAAAAGTAAAAAGTATTCTGTATCACCTAAGTTAGCCCATACCCTGTATACCAAATTTCATAAAAATCCGTTCAGTAGTTTTAGCGTGGCGTGATTGACGGACAAACATGTAAACATCAAAACAAAGAAACTTTCACATCTACATAATTATAATATCAACGTGATTAGTGTGATAGATTGATGTTTATTCAAACGGTTGTATCACAATGTCTGTTAAGTACCCAAAATATTACTTAATTTTAAATAATTCCCTAAACTTCAATTCTAGGTAAAAATATAAACTTTATTTAATATACGTTAGATAAATAAAGCAAGAAATTTAATGAGACGCTCACTCATAAAACCATTTTTTAGTTCAAACTTCATTATTTATTAAACCTAATTTGATAAGTAATTATTTTTAATATTCTCGATAATACGCATATCTCGCACTTTGACCTAAGTAGGTACCTACACATGTATACGTACGACACACGATCTGTCGTCGTGTCAGCTTTTCAGCGGTAAGCTGATATTTTTATACTTTTCGTCACTGGTGGTTGCGTCATAGCATAATGGGTAACTAATACTAAGTATTGTGTATTTTAGTTTACAAAATACACCTTCCTACCAAATAATAATATTTATATAATTTAAAATTGCATATTTTTTAACACTAGGATTTTCGTTTGGCTTCGTTTACAAACCTACAAATTCTACATACACATCACACCCAAACCGGGAACAATAACTTGTTGATCACCACAAAGTGTTGTTCCCTGCGGGAATCGAACCCAACGCGACATGTGACACAGCAGCCTTACCCGGTCACTGCGCCAACCATGCAGTCAAATTAAGTACCTACATCCGTACAAAGATTACATTCGTAAATGAGAAAAACTTCAAAATTATTGATTATAATACTTGTTTATAGGTCAAGTAACTTGGTTTGTGATGATATTAATATTATCTATGCATACGTTGATAAGTACTTAAAATGTTAGTATAACGAGCTTTAACATTTTTTATGACGAATTGCCTCGTAGCTCTCGTAGCTCGCGCTGCTACGCCGCCGATTTACGCCGACTAACTCTAAACGCCGATTTAAGTAACTAAAAAACACTGTATTGATGAATGTCGCTATACATATAGAAGACGATTTTACTAATACTATTTGTATTTTTAGTGTTTTTTTTTTGTCAGGATGTTTATTTTTTGAATATACATCGGATAAATAGGCGAATATCTAAGCGAAACCGGGATGGGCCATTAAGAACGAAAATATTAAATGATTTATTAGAAATAGTAAGAATTACTTAGGTATCTAAGTATATAGATTTTTTATTAGCAGTTAATTATTACAAATATGCATTGAAGGTTATTAATTTTGCTAAAATCAACGTAACGAAAAACTATAAACGTGTCTTCATTTACTATTTAAATTGATGACTCTTTCCAAAGACAATAAGATATAAATGAAATGATATTTAAAATAATAATATACCTAGGTACATTTTCACAAAAACAAAGTATGTCATATACCTAACTATAGGAAACAGTAGGTTTGCGCAATACCGACGAACTGCATCCGAGCGATGATAAACTTTGTCGGTCTTCCATTTACTATGTTACAGATATTTATGTAATAATGTATGCTAAGAAGCTGCTGCTGTGTCTCTATATGTATTAAGACCGATTGCAACAATTTATTTTAATTTAATACTCTCCCGTTTGTTAAAATATGTATTTTTATTTTATCACCTGCACGTTTGCAGTTTTTGTTCAAAGCTCTATATATCGTTAGCATTTTGGAGAAATTGCAAAAAGACGAGTTGAAGCAGACAGGCGAGTCAACCCGCTTGCCGCCGCCGCGCGCCCTCGCGGTCCCACTGTCTCGCAACATTCCCAAATTCCACTCGTGTTTTAATCACTTATAAACAACAAAAATAAAATGAATAGAAAATATACTTACCGCATTTACACTTAGAAGCGGTGCTAACGCAGCTAACAACCTATTTGAAAAGAAAAAAAAAATATTATAGAAAAAAAAATATTTTAGGAATATATTCAAATTGCAAAAATATTGCAAATTTAATCTACAATGTAAAATGATAGAAAAATTTAATCTTTAATAATTAGCGATAATATTAATGAAAATCTAGAATGAGGTATTGAAACCAAGTTAGCTATGTATTTGGAAATCTTACCATAGCACGGACACCGCCATAGCCCGGAGCGCGCTGCGCCAGAATCCCGTGCGCGCGCGCCGTTTGTGCCGGGATACTAAAGGATAGAGGAGTGCTCGGGCAGCAGTCTGATCACCCCCGCCCCGCGGAGGCGCGGGTGCCGGGCGCGGCGCCTGCGGCCCCGGACAGCCCGCGAGGGCGCGCATCCAGTAGTGGCGGCGCAGCCATGTCGGGCCCGGCGCGTGCGCGTTTCATCGCGCTACATCTCGTGCCCGCCACACTTCTACTCCTTTCATGGACTCCTACTCCTTCATCAGCAGTAAGTACAATACACGGACTTATTTAAATTATATCTAACGAGTATTTGTTATTGTTAAGCACCTGTAATTATTTAAGTTCGCCAAAAAGACATCAACGCGCTGAGGCAAATCAAAGTTACAAGTAGATAATTCAATGTAAACTTATATTTATTTATTTATGTATGTCTATCAGTGGTATCTTTAATTAGTTATATTCAGTGTTCATTTTAAATGTTTAGTGCTGTAATAACATCATATTGTGTAAAATAATGCTATGTACATGTACATGACACCTTAACTTTTTTTATATATTTCATGACAAGTTTGCCAAACAAAAAAAGGGATTTTAACTAAATTTGCTAACTATAATTATTTCTCTGAGTCCTATAGGCATTCGCCTATATGACGAAATAATTTATTTACGTACTTGTTAAGGACAATAGTAAATTGCCTACAGGTGTATAGAGATGTAACGTTTACTTTTCACACGTATGCACATGACTTGCACAGGAAGTGGTTAGTTTCAGGAACAGAAATAGATAACATTCATATTATAATAGGTAATATTATACTGAATTTATAACTATGTATATTATTTCTATTACAATACTAGCATTATTTGATTTCATAGCCTAACGAGTTGAGTATATTGTGAGGTGCACATAATATTTAAAGGTCTTAAAATAACTCGTATATAAATTTAAAATATGTCGGAAATGCAAACATTCTGTAATATTATATAAATCGAAATCTTTCAATGTAAGTACATATTCGTGGTTGGAGTCTAACCGATACCTTTTCCTTTCTATTGTTGAAAATGAGATTTTTTTTTACTTACGGAAACTTCCTCCAATCAGGTTACTTAATTCCATAGTGAAGTTTTCTTGGGTGTTTTTTTTTATTACACACGAGTTAACCTTGATATTTTTTTAATACAGAAGTAAAATAATTTTATGTCTCTTACCACATTGTAAGTACAGGTACTTTAGGCTCCGTGTCTAATAAAAGATCGCTTATTTACTATAACGTGTTAGTTTGACTGCCGTAATGAAAAAAAAATGGTAGGTCTATACCTACCTGGCTGTAAGTTTGAATACCTATTTACCCAAACTAACAGCCTGACGAAAAAAGAGGGATATTTTAATAATTTTTACCTATCTGCGAGTGGCAATCTACCTCTTGAATGAATGAACAGATTTGAGTGGAAATTGAATCTGCATTTTTTAATTACTTACTATATCATATACCTATGTAGTTATACGTTTACTTACAATATTGATATCATTTTTTAAAGAGATAAATGTAAACTCAGCAGGCGTTTTTTTTAATTTTTACTCTTATGATTGAGGTGATCGCTAACCATCAGGTAGGTAACTAGGTATAGGTAACAAATGTATTTACAGTTCATCGGACTGATTAGACACCAACACAATTGATTAATATAGTTGTCAGACATTCTCATATCAAATAGACAGACTAATAGTGAAGTTCGAAGTCTGGACTGCTTCCCATTGTATTGCAAATTCTAATTATTTTTATAAAGCAAGATCTTAAAGCCTAAATGTCATTATATTCTGCCTACAAGCCAGAGTTTAGCGTTGCAGCAACTTCACCCTTATTTACCTATGGTTATATAACTAATGAAAAATGGGTATTAGATATATACCTATATTCCACATGTGAGCTACTATAGCTAGGTTTTTACTCCCCGAAAGGGATTTGCGTACCCTATAATAATCAGTTTTATTTTATTTAAGGAAATCCTTATCAATATTCATCATATCATCATTATCATGATCACGATATCAGTCTTCTGCTGAACATAGGTCTTCCGCGATAACTTCTCTTAGTTCCTTTTTCTGATACTGTTTGTCTAAAGTTCCATTACCTATGTATATAGAATTAGAGGCTGGTAGTCAGACAAACAAGTTGCCGAATTAAATAGATTTTTGCCGACACAAAAAACCACACAGGTCTTCCTTAAGTACTTGGCTGCTGGTATATGATACATAATAGGAAATTAATCTATTGTCATTATCATGAGGTAGAATATGTCCACTACTTAGCAAGAGCTTTCCTCTTAGGTGGGGAAGGGAGTTTACTATTATTAGGCTTAGGGATCGCAGTTAGATCTCCGAAAAAAAGAGTGTTGCCACTTTTTGTGCCTTATATATGCCTTATGCCAATATTAACGACTAGCAGCAATCAAGTATGCATATTTGCTAATCGAACCGCATTACACAGTGCTGCAGCTAATCTCTCAATTACTGAGCTATTAACAAACAATCTGAAACATTGAGGCAAAGATACAGTACCTATTATTTAATTGGTCATATTGAGGACATTTAACCCTTTGAGTACCGTCATTATAGACACAATTAAAGACGAATAGGTTGCGGTCACCGGTGTCCTCGCGTTGTTTGACAGTTTAAAAAAGACACAACAAGTAAACAAAGGGCATTGCAGGGTTTGAAAGTAAACAACTTTTTATTAACAGGACTTTTGACAAAAATGTTCTTTACTCACAAGTCAAGTTGGAACTATAGATAAAAATGTTAAACTTTTCAATTAGGGTTTCGTGCCTTATGAATATAACAAGACCAGCAGTGCTATTCGGAAAGTTGGTTATGCAAAGTCTCTTCTGAATCTGCGGAAAGATTACTACACTACTCAAAAGATTATAAGGTTCACCATCGTATATTTCTTATATTTATCTTAGAGTAACTCAAGAGCTGATAAGTAGTTACTAAAATAAAGCATTACTAACTTTTGAGATTCGGTGAGTCTAAACAATGCCCTAATACCAAGTCCAAATACGTCTGTTGTTAAAAACGAGAAACACGTTAATGCTTTTTGATAAAAGCCTAAAAACAGGTGGCCCATATTTTGTTTTGAGTAGTATAGTTTCATAATCTGAAAACAAGTAAGTTCGATACTAGCGCCACCGGGTAATAACGGAATTTAGAAAAAAATATGCGAGATGAGTATATTCATTTTCAGAATGGTTCTGCTTACTACCGCCGCGGCGGTATCTGTCACCAGACTCTATCCTAAGAGCCGTTATAGTTAGACAGTTAAAATTTTCACAGATGATAATTTTATACTAACATGAAATCAATACGAAAATCAAATCAAAAATACGCTTTTAATCATAGTAAGTAATATTATTGTGCTCTTATTATCAAGAAAAATGGACATACCTATCTAATGGGCAGAAGCTCAATATGTTCTTCTGCTCAGTCACCCTGCAATTCCATCATCAGACCAGCTGCATAGTAGGTACCATTATATTGAATAGTCATCTAATCGAATACACAATATATAATCTGTTAATCTGATATACATATTTGCTAGCTCATACAACAATTAGAAGTGTATAATTCAGATTCATAGATATCATTACACAAGTAGTATGTTATTTACTTACAAGTCGACCTAATAAAATGAGTTAATAAGTAGGTACAGAATGTATTTTTTTTTGCTCGATATTGGCAACAGATAGTAAAATAAAATAAAATTTTACTTAATAAGGTCAGCGTTTGGCCGCTATCTATATTTAAAGACGGCTTCCGTGACACATGGAAATCACATAGGAATGGTTTATTATACTACTACCGGTAGAAACAAAGCAAAGGCAGGCTTCCTGGTCGTAATCAGTCATCCCAACCCAAATACTTTCCTGCAATGCCAGTGGTCTCAAAAGTTTTGACACATTGCAGTTGCGGTTCAAAAAACTTTAATCGTGCCATCAATTTCAGTAAGACCATCTCCCCGAAAACGTGTGACTGAAGTAACATAGGCAATTGAAATAATTTCTTTAAATAATTGATCATGCTTGCATATAAGACTATGTTACGTTTTTTCAGTTCGATAAAACAAGAAATCAAACACTTTTATCTACAAACTTACCGACAGTCTTTAGATCTATAAACCCTTAATCTGGCACAGTCACAAATGGCACCGGGTATTCAAATTCTTTTTCGATGTATCGTAAAATTGTTGTTATATTATTGTGTTTATTTTAGTTTAATATTATTTTGACGAATAAAAACAACCAACCATAAACTTTAAAAATAAAAAAAATACTTTAGGAAGCAAAAAGTAGCTTTGGTAAACCAAAATAATGCTAATAATAATCACACATTGAACTGGTATCAATCTATTTGCCAAGTTCAAGTAATAATATATCATGTATGAATTAGAAACTTACAATGTCAAAGTTAAATAGAGTACTTCTATGGGATAAGTCAGTAAACGAGTAGAGAGAGAACCTGAATCGGCGGCGCCTCCCATGGACATTCGGAACACCAGAGAAGTGCAATTAAAAGTGCACTAGCCTTTCGAAGAATTAGATATTTAGCGAATTGAGGATAGAAGGAAGGATAGGGCCTCCGGTGGCTACTGGTCATTGTAGGTCGGTTTCCTGAGAGACCGAGACCGTGGTACTATCTGGTCGAGCCGGCTCATTTATGAATGAAGTATGGTTGTCCCTCTTTAAATGAGAAATTATACATTTGTGGACGCATATTACGCTACACTATCTATGTATTATGTACATCCATTTATTATACTTTTATTTATACACGTACCTACAACTGTTGACATAGAAATTGATTTTGCCTATACCTAACGAATAGACGAATACACAATAGTATAGGTTAATACAACAACTCTAAAAGTCTTATTAAATGATTTATTATGAACTTCAATTGCACAACTTTATATTTAGGATACAGAGCGCTGTGGTTATTTAATTTAAAGTATTTGTTTGCGTTGCAGCTAAATGCTAAATAGATCAACTGCCGACTTAGTGTCTAATGACCGCTCCGCATAAATACCAGGGTTGCCGTAGATGCGATGTCATCACTTGCATGTTACATTATTTATATTCAATATTTTTCAAATTATATAAGACTACGGATTGTCAATTTATAATAAATAATGGCATAGCTGTCATATAGATGGGTATATGACTATATATAACTGTAGTATAAATAATATAACCTACATTTCATTTACT